AGCAAGGAAACCTGTTCCACCTTTATAAGGAAAACATTGCCATGGAGTGTTTAGGAGCCACACGGTTATAATGAATAACGAATGTATGGTACTTTGTGTAGTGTTTAGCTCAGCCTGAGAAAGAGAAAATAGTGGAAGTCTCTTCTTTCTGCCTGTGTGTTCAAACGAAGGAAAATCAAAGCTGTTATACCAGAGCTATATATCAGCTAATATATTTTAGGAACTGTGGAATGATCATAATTACAAAAAAGTCCTCCAGAGAGAAATTATGACTCATAGTTTATGTTCTCTTTAGTGTTGCTATGGAAAAAGAGGTTAGTGCCAGTGGTCATACAGCAATATTAATCTCTGATCTGAAAGAAAAATAAATAACAATCTCTAGCTTAACCCAAAGCAGATTTATTCTCAGTTACTGCAGCACACTCCATTAAAGGGGATAACCATGTAAGAAAAATTAAAGATGACATTGATTATCAGTTCTCAACATGCAGTTAGAGTTCCTTATTTGAATTAGTGTGCACTTCAGACTCCTGCAAACGACTTGGCGGAGTGAGAGGAAGGGAAAAAAGGCATTTTGATCAAAAGGAGGGCAGGAAAGATCAGCCACCACCGACAGCTGCAAGTATGCTGATTAAAATTTCTTTATGCATGCAGTTAGACTCAGCCTGGGGTTGATGCTGGTTCAACTGCAGATCCTGAAACAAAACCGTAGCAACAGGCAGTTTAAAGTGGTGGAAAGTGGCTATCAGCCATTTTCCATTTATTGGGGAAAGTGAGGGCAGTGAGTCAGAGAGTGGTGGATACTTAGGTGCTGAGTCAGCACCCTTCGGGCTGCTCTGGCAGTTGTTTCCTGCCAGTTGTTTAGTTGCCTAGGCAAAACCCTAACCAGGACTGGGGCCAAACAGCTGTGTGCTTGCTTTGCTCGCGTGGTGAATCTTTTTCTTTGCATGCAGGAAAACTACCTGACACCTTCTTCTTGACACCCAGAGTGAGCGTGTGTGTCTTAGTGGGTCACAGTAAACCTTTTCTACCTGCATACTTGACTTTTTGTTTTCAGGAGCTGGAGCTACACTTGCTCCGTTGCATGCCGTTACTGACAGCAAAGACCTTGCAGTCAGAACTTAGCTTGAAATTTTGCTCACAGTGCACCCTGCGAAGCAGGCTATAGCCTTCCTTTCTGCCACACTGTCGCATCTGCCGTGCTGATGGCAGTAAAACTTTTTATTCTGTTGATGAGCTAAGCAGATTGGACTGGGGAGATACACAGACCTCATGTCCTGCATCTATGCACACAGGTCTTACTGATGGTCACAGGAGTTGTACATGTGGCCCAAAAACCTTGTATGGCTTTGAGTCAGCTGAAGGCTTTTCACTGACTTTCAGGGTTGGACTGGTCCCAGGGTGAACAGTTTGCCCTCTAACAAATTAGCATTACTTCACTAATTCTTCTGAGGTTACCTCTTTTAAGTGTGTGACTATCAGTCATCAGTCACGTAACTGTTTGGCCTTACAGTCTATAACAACAATTGGTTTTCATTGCATCAGTGTGAAGGTCATACAGGTATATTTTGCCTTCTGATCATTTTCTTCTTCTTCCCTTTCTTCTGTCTCTTTAATCATTAAACATGCTTCAGTCAGGCCCGTACGAGGGCTTTGAGTGCACTCTCTTATTTGACAGCGAAATGGTCCAGAAAGCCTGTTTCTGTGCCTTTTCACAGAGGAGCCGGCTCATGGATTAGCACGTGGGGGTCAACAGGATGCTCTTTGCCCTTTCCCCTAAAAGGGGACAGAAATGTCAGCTGGTTTTCTGGCATTGAAAATGGAAGTATCAGCAGCCGCTGAGTGCTGTTAGTTTAAATATTTATACCATAAGGACTTTATCACACCCTCTAGAAAGAGGCAAAAGTGCAAAGCTCCCGCCGATTTCAGTAGAGGTCGAACTCTGAATCCGCGCAGCAGCTAACAGGTTGGGTCTTCCAAGGAATAATGGTACGAGTGGAGCTCACAGGCAGGCGCTGTACCTGTGTTATTGTGTTAAGAAGGGTAAACAACCAGTTTTTTTCAAACAGTAATTATGTAGACAAACCTGCCAGCACAAGCATGGAATACCCGTGCATATGCTTGACATCTGCCAGCCTGACAAGAGCCAGGCACATACTTCAGATACTTGAAAGAATACAGTGCTGCTGGTGCTGCAGTCTGTCTCCTCCCTGAAACACTAAGTTTTGCAGACTCATGTTTTTAGTCAGGACTCGAGAATGGAAGGAGAGGGGAGGAAACAACTTGGGGGACATCTTGGGATCCTGAGCTTGCTTCGTCCTCTGGTTTGTAAGATAGCACAAAAGCAGACATTTGTGAGTTGCGTAAACATTTTTCTCTCTTGCAAAGCATGCTTTCTTATGTTTGTTAGGATTACGGGCCCGCTTGTCCTTGTAAATGTGTGACTGTGACGGAAAAAATGTTTAATTCTAGTCCTGCAACCAATGGCTGTGTGTTTAGTGTGTCCTGAAGTGAGTATTTGAATTAATTCTCACAGATGCTCAGTATCTGCATTTCCAATGGTTTTACTGGATGGCATTGTAATGCTCTTAAAACACTGCACATGGGATTCGCTTCAGCATCTCTAAAACTGGATAAAGCATGGCCAGGGGTATTGTTTGAATTAAAGCTTAGCAGGACAAACAAACCAGGCATATCTGAAAGCGAAATGTAAACATGATGCTGGGGTTCCTGGTTAGCGCTTGGTGGCTGCGGGAAGTTGACAGCTGTTACATAAAGGTTAAACGTGCATTCTTTGGTCTGTCAGTAAAATTAAGCCTCCTAAAGACTATGTGGCACTCCGGAAGACATGAATTTATCTGTGTGCATAAACAGAATATACACTTCAATATAAATATGCTTTCAGGACTATTTAAAGTATTAGAAGTATGATCCAGTCCCATAAAAAATGCAGATGGAGCTAGCAGATTTTGGGAAGTGCCTGACTACATTCAGATGGGCTAGAGAGCTGACGAGTGTCTGGAAAGCAAAGGTGTTTGCGTTGCTAAATAACAGCAGAGGATGAGAAAGAAAATGGTATAGGCGCAACAGGGATATGAACTGAACTAATAAATGCTTGACCTTTAAATTTCATCTTTGCCAGCTTCTCAGACTGCTTCTCCCAAAGACTGACATGACTGTGTTTTATGTTATGCTTTTATTTGCCATATTTGTAGTTAGTTACAAGTAAAAATGATTGAAATCCATTGTAGTTAATACAAAATAAAAATATAGCTGCACGGGTTATGCCATGATTTTTCTTACAAACAGTATCTCCTATATGATACCATACACTTAAGAGCTTGACTCTTAATAGTACTCACCTACACTAAGCTCTTATTGACTAACTTCCAGTGTGATTTACTGGTTACAGATATTACCCCTGTGGAGTAACATCTGTTAATAATTTCATAACGGTATTTTTGCTGTAGTTTTTATTTCCCCTGTAATTTGTGATTCTAAATACAAGTTGAAGGAAGCAACCTTTTAGTGCAATGTTAAGTATCAGTAGAATTTTATATATATATATATATAAAATAAAAATAACCCACTGCATAAACAAACAAGGATGTAAGGTAACTGTTGTGGGTATTGTGCTTCCCTTTCCTCCCCTCCCCCTTACCTTTGTTAAGTGACAGGAATGAACATTCATGGTGAACAAACTACCCTGTAACCTCTCATTTTCAATGAATTTTGAAAAATTACAGACTTGTAATTTTGAGAGCAGGTAGGTGGCTTTGATGAAAGTTATTAGCAGAGAATCAAATCCTGTGGCTTTGCAGACTCATCCTTACGTAAACTCATCCCTGCCATGAAGTTCAATCCATGACACATTGTTCCCTTTAGACATGCCTAAGAGAGTATTTCACCTTTTTGAAAAAATTGTCCTTACATCCCTGTAATTATCTAACTCTTCTGTGTAGATATAGTTCTATATATGAAATAATTTGTAAAAAGATAAATTATGCTATTTTCAAAATACTCTGAGATACAAAGTTGTGCAGGTGCAAGTTTGATAGTATATTGCTATAAAGACTAAGAATTAATTAATTAGTGTTATCTGAGTATATATTCTTTAAGCTGGGAGTACAGATTTAATATTGTGGGGTTTTATTTTTGCTTTTTTTACATTTCATAGCATTTCATACTTTCTTCAGACTATCTCCATGTTTCTATCAAATTCCTTCTATTTTTTTTTTATTTTTCCATTTCTGATCCCTTAAAGGTACAGTAGCTGATCACACAGTCATGGTTGTCACTAATGTATTTCCATAACTCTGGTAGACTGAAACACATCTTTTCATTTCCACCCTAAACACAGTCATTTCTTCTAAGTGAATAGCGAGAGGCTTCTGGCAAAAATCTTTTCCCCTGTTGAAACTGATGGAACCAACTTTTCAGCTTTGCCCTTTTAAGTACTCTGCTCTTCTAGGCTTACAGCGTCGTGGGGCAAAGCCCCAAACAAACTACATGTATGCACAGTTACCGAGGCTGTTAGTATTCATGGAGCATAGCACGGAAACCGAAATCGAATGTTCTCATTGGTATTTCTACATTTACATACAAAACTACTCACAGTGCTGTGAAATACTGAAAGAGAAGAAAACAGACCAGAAATGTTTGGGTTTTGACTACTCTCCACGAATTCCTCTGACCTAAGTATAAGAAAGCCAGCTGACCAGCTTGCTTCTACTAGACATACTCTTTTCCTGCTAGTCTCTTACGCCAGCTGACAGCATCTCTAACTTAATGAACACCAGTAACTCGGCCTAAAACAGAGCGTATTGCAGCCTGTGTCATTGACCTTGTTCACTCTGCATTCCAACACAATGCAATAAATTACCACTGCAGAGAAAAGGATGGAAGAAACTGAATTGCTACTACCGCCTGTGTAGCAGAAACCAGTTACTCGCCTAAGTAAAACTGTGCATATCTGGAAGGCGAAGGAAGGCTCAGGTAGATTACGCTGTTTGGTCTATCTGCAGGACAGCTGCTTGGGTCGTTTCTTCGTCAGATTGTTCTGTTTCCCCGCCGACTGGTTTGTTTCTTTCATCATACAGTTTCTGGCTAGAAACTTCTAGAGGTGTCCCATACTCTTCATCATCTTCAACAATGGACAGCTCGATGTTGTTGTTCATCATGGCGTTCCCTTTCATTCTGGCTTCCTTCTCTAGAGAATCGGCTACTGCTTTGCCCTCCTCGGTCAGCGAGGTGGTAGGTGTCATATCCGAGTGCATGTCGGCAAATGACACTTCATCCTCATTCTCCGCTTGGTCGTTGCTTGTAGTTTCTGTTGGTCTGTCCTCAGCTTCAGCAGGGCTTTCTTCTTCACGGGCTTTCTTCACGTTGAATGTGAGGGGAGATACTTTGAAAGCCGAACTCTTTGAAGAGGAGGATTTCTGATGATGTACAGTAAGTGATTTCTTGATCTTTTCTCTCCGTTCAGGTGAGACAATCTTTGTGCTGATCTTGTTCATCTTCTTCTCGATGTTTTGGCGGGAAAATGCTTTCTTGAGGCTGTCTACCTTCTTGAGGCTGGATCTTTTAATTTTCTCAGCTCTCGATTCTTCTGTTTTCTCCTCTGCACTGTCATCCACATCATCTTCCTCATGAAACATTTCATCATCTGAACACAGCTCCACTGTGTGCAAGGTTTCTTCCAGTGTTTTGTTCTCATCCACAGGCTCCTCTTTTCCTTCGGTAATGCTGGGAATAGGCTCTTTTGCAAAAACACTGGCAGGGATCTCATTTTCCTCCTGAAAGAATTGACAATATTTGAGTTTCATAGTTCACAGGACACAAATTTAATAAACAAAGCACAACCCTGAACAATTACTTTTTTTTCCCCCCCATGATGAGATGAAGGATGCTGAACATTTCTTGTTGTTTCAGTATATTTAACCAGTAACAAGCCACTCAAAGCCCACTGAACCATTATCTGATACAGTTTAAGACTAATGAGCTGTCAGCTGGAAGATTTCTCTTTCAGAGTGACTTGGAATGTATACAGAATGGAAATCCCGTTCTTTGTCATTTAAATCAGATACTCTTATTAAAGAGCTTAGCTGTAAAGTTGTACACCTATCCCTGGGGAGAAGGGATGGTATGGTGGCTAAGGAGGTCGTACTAGAGACTCCTGCGTAGACCTACAGAAGTCATGTAACCCCAGAGCTTTCAGTTTCTCTAGCCAAAGATTGGGATTATCTCTGCAGAGATGTTGGGTGCATCCGAGAGGTACCTTAGATGACAAACGCAGTTAGTGCTCCCACTGTATTTCAGAGAAATGTATGTAGCTGTTAAAACTAGATTGTGGGTACTGAGCAGCCATGCAGTCTATGATGTTTAGAGTATGTGTTATTTCCCACCTATTTACAGCACAAAAAAAAAAAAAAGTAAATTTTGTTGGTAAATTGGTAAATATTAAAAATATTTACCAGGGCAACTCCTTGAAAAATAATAAAAAAACCATTTATGGCATACAAAAATAAACAGACATTGTACCACATAGAAAACACTAGTAGTCACTTCTAGCTAAGAGGAAAATGATCACTTTTTAGGAACAAAACCAAGAAAGGGCATGGAAAGAAAGAAGGTATCTGAAAACAAAACAGGCTGAACAAAGGCAGAAGCTGCAACTCGTAACGAAACCTCTGAGACGACTGAGCACAGCAGCTCTGCAACACCCAGCAGTTCAGAAGCAGCACAATGAACGCTCTGTTCTGCGGTAGGTTTTGCAGGCATCTGCCAATGCAAAGAAAACGAGGCTCCTTGCACGCTCCCTTTTCTTTCCAGAATTGTTACGCCTTAGATCTGCATGTTCTCTATTTATTACCTTTTTTATCACCTTCAGACAGAGTGCATGCAATATCACCTAGTGTTATGGATTGGAAGGATTTTTTTTAATTCCCCCCTGTACTTATCTTTCTTTAGATACAAAAAGTAGTAAGTGCTGAGTGAAATGGTTGTAATAGTCTCAGATCTGTCCCTAGTGGGCCTGAGTGTACAGTTAAGGGGAAAAAAGGCCACATACACTTTGAAGTTCATGCTCATTATTTCAGGACTGAGCATACAGTTGTGATCACTGGAGAGAATAGTGTCTCGAGTTAAATTTGCTGTCAAGACTGTATAAGGATGTCTTTATGAATATACCACAGTACTTTGTACATGGTTGTTTTTAAAAACAAAATTCTCCCAACTACCTTGTAGCGCTTCTGGAGCTCAAGAATATGCATGTGGACAGGGAGAATCATTTTATACCACACATACACAGTATATAATCATATATACTGTGATTAAAGTGTGTTGATGAATATCCCTTGGGGATATAAAAATGAAAAGTATGAAAAAATTGATGGCTGTTTGACAGTTTGTATGTGCTTTGCTTCTACGGTTTCCGCACACCTTCCTGGACTAGCGGCTTCAGTTGGATACACTGACACAGATGAAGCTTTCCAAGCCCTTTGCCTGCAGTGGAACATCTAATAAAGCCACTGTTCTTCTCCCAACACCTATAATGTTGTTGCAACTATCGGCAACAGTGACCAAGATAACAAAACAAAGAAAACCTGCACCAGCTTTAAGTGAAAACAGCTGTAACTGCAGTACAAATATTTATATTTTCTCTCCACTGCAGTTAATGAAATGTGGATTACATGAGTGGGTGCAGTGTTAAATTATTCCCCAGAGCATGAGAACTCAGTATAAAGCATAATTAACGTGTCTTGTGCATTCTTTCCAAACCTAGGTAATCGCATACAGTTTTAAGCATCTCAACATGCAGGTGTAAGTGCCTGAATGGCATAGAAAACTCTGATTTTAATGAGTAAAGACGGGTTGTAACTTTTAAAGTATTTAGTCTAGGAAAGTGGTGTCGTATGAGATTGATCACAGGGCAGTCTGAGCCAGAGATGGGCCTGTGTGACTCATCTCAAGGTCAGTTTAGCTCTGTGTCTACAGTATTCACGTTAGACTGAAGTAGTGCATGCAGTCTCTAAAAGAATATGGACATAGATTTTATTTCAATTTTTATCAAATTTGTGACTGAGTAGAAGGGAGATTGTCAAACTACCCATATTTATAAAGGAAAAAAAAAAGCAAACAAAAATATACTACATAATAGTGAGCTAATGATTCAATTAAAAGCAGATCCTAGGTGGTCTTTGGCTATCAGACAGTACTGGCATTCAAGAAATCACCTCTTTGTCTAAGCTTCCTGCATGGCCCTGGAAAACATCAGGCTCTGGGCATCTATTACTCTGCTTGTAAAAATGGGAATGACATGCTTTCCTATCTCACGTTTTTAAAAGACCTTAGGATCACAGGAACTATTAAAATGCAAATGAAAATAAATTAAGTAAAACGCTTTGGAACTACAAAAGGTAGTATAGTAGGAATGCTCTGTGGTGGAACAGATGTTTCTGTTTCAAATACACTTACTGATAACATGTTGTAAGTGGGCTATTGGTAACTTTTTGGTCTAACAAGTTTATATGACACCTATATTTTGTTTTGATACATTTTTCAAGCAGTCTAGTGTTTTGTTTAGGAAGACTAGAACAATACACTGAAAAATGCCAACTGTTACAAAGTGCATAACTATTTTCCATGCCAAAAAAAGTAGAACTTTGATCTTTTCATCTTGATCTAATCTAAAATTCTGAGAAAGCAATACATCTTTTTATTTTCCATATCTGAGTTCAAAAACAGCACTTGCATTTTCTCAGATGAGCTTGGCTGTAGGTAGCTAGCTCCTCTGAATTTTATTTTTCCGTGTAGGAGCCGAATAGACTTGTGCAAGTTCTCTGTGTAAAACAACTCTTGCTAATACTAGTAATACTTGCAAAGTTAAAATCAGTGCCTTCCCTGTGGCTTTGATCAGCCGTTCTCGGGAACTTTCTATAGGTCATAATCTCAACCCTCTCTTTTACCAGAAAGAAAGACAAGATCCATAATGGCATACTACAAAACCGGACAGCCTGAGTGCACAGGTAGTTAATTTACTCAGGAGTGCTGAATCTCTGATGCCACATAAGGGAAATCAGTGTGCTTTGGTTTGGATTTTTGTTAGATTTGTGGTAAGAGGCCATGGCCTTCAAGAAGGGGAGATGGCATTTTCCATGCTTACAGCAGTCCAGGCTCCTCTGTACTTTTTAGATGCTGTTATAGGCCTAAATGGTTACTAGTCTAAAACTTGTTTTGCTACACAAAATAGGCCAAACGATGACAAATCCTTCTAAAAACATCTACAGCTCCACCTACTTTCCTTCAGACAAATAAATGCTCTTCAGACCTGGATGTCACCATGGGGAGGGAGGAGGGCAGGGACCAGGCTGGGACCACGGGCAAGGAGGAGGAAACTTCCGGCTGCCCATTTGCACGTCCTGTGCAGGCTGGGGAGTTTTGGGAGCGGGTTGTGAGTTTGGCTGGACCATCCCCCTGACCTCCCACAGCACAGCTGGGTCCAGTCCTAAGAGCCATGTGAGATATTTTTGTCATTAATCAATATAAGAGTATTTTCCCTGCAAGGCTCCAGTGGGAAATTTAGTAGTTAGATAATAGCATTATCAGTTTGTAATTTTTCTGTTTCCCTCACTTGTTCATTTTTGAGTTTGAAGTTGCTTTTGCGAAAGATTATTACAGTGACCCAAACAAGATAAAACGAAATGGCTGATTTCCTCTGCCTTCCTCTTGCTTCATTTCAGGATGAAGCATTTAACAAGAGCAGCATCTGAAAGGGGCTTGAATATCAGTGTGCTTGACCCCAAGCTATAACTTTGACTTATTTTATCTGTCCTATTTACCAGTAAACATGACATTTAATTGCAAAATTAAACATGAGCCTTTTTTATCTTGCATTTTGCTTCTGCAGCTAAAATAGCAAACAAAACTCCCACCAAACCAGAACCAAAAAGCTGGTCATGTGGCAAGAACAAAATAGAGGGGAACAATGCCAAAGCTTAACAAGGATTTTTAAAACAGTCACTTCAGTGTTTTGCTAAATTGCTGTGTCACTTGTGGCATTTGTAATAACTTTTGCATCCTCAAATGCTTGGAATGGAGCTCCATTAAAATACATCACCAATTAAAGAAATATATGCAAACTAGGAACAATGCAGACAGTCTAGGGAGAGAAAACTAAGAGCATTTTAATGGAAAATATGTAAATAGCTGAACTTTTCTAAACGCAGTTCATTCTCAGTGTGTACGCTGAGGGAAAGCTGATGCTGGCGAGTGGCAGCATGGTTTCATAAAATACAGAGCTGGAGCTCAGTCATGTGATTTGGCTATGCTCAGTGCTCCCACCAAGTATCAGGGAGTTTGAGCTATACAGTGAATGCAGAACTGAATGACAAATGTGTATTTTTATTTTCATACGGAGCTGTCTTCCTAAGCTGGAAAAGCGGGTCCTAATGAGAAACACGCTGTGTGAAGTTTGGGATTGGTTTTTTTCAGTGGAAAAGAAGAATCCCCCAAGTGAAGAGAAGTCTCATATATCCAGGTTTCCCTTTTGTTTTTACAGAAATCTGGCGTCAATATGGCTTCATTGCTGCGACTTCTCCTTCCTGCAATTGTTTTTCCATGGATTCCTGTTCGGGGCGGTACAAAAACCCAGCCAGCCTTCTGCTCTTTTCCCTCTGTACAATTGTCCTAGCAAGGTAGTGGCCCCGCTGACTGCCAGGTCACCCCACCTCCACCTTGCAAGGAGACCCTGCCGGGAGGTTTCGAGGAGGAGGGCATGCAGGTAAGGTGCCTGCCCGGGCTGGCAGCGGGCATACAGGCACAGCATCATGAGCACCCGCTATCCCTTTGGGTGCGGCCGCTTCCCCAGTGGAAAATCCCAGCTCCTCCCAGGCCGTTGCTGGAGAAGGCCCTGGGTGCTGCCTGCCCCAGCCACCCTCCCACGCCCTGGGAAGCCCTGCCGGCAGCCCTGGTTTTCCAGACAGCCACGCTGCCTTTTAGCAACAGGCCAGTGCCAGAAGCAATTCCCAGCTGACAGCTGAATTTTTTTTTTTTACTGAATTTAACTGCAGTATTTCTTTTCTAAGGCTTATGTTCCTGATCTGCAGCGGCTTGGGATCAGTTAAGTTCACCTCCCCCCCACCATGGCAACATATTTCCCAGTCATTGATTCCTGTTGATGGGAACACAGTCAACTAAATCCTTCTAAAGGCAACAAAGACTAGACCTCCTGTCCAAAGGTACCACCCCAGTGACGGGCTGTGGAGAAGCAGTGGGTTTTCTTTAGCTGTTGTTCTGGGACACAGACCTGTGGTGTTTGGTTTGGGTTTGTGCACTTCAGTATTACGGAAAGGCTTGGAGGTTTAAATAGGCCTTAGCTTTGCAATAATATTTAGTGTCGGGAAACAAGCTAAGCCAGCTCTCCCCTGTCAGGACACTGCTTTACCCTTCAAACCCTTCTTGGCGAGTTTTACCAGTACTATGTCATCTTAATCACTATGTCATCTTAAAATGCTAAAATTTGGGTTCTCTGGAGGAAGATACTGTAGTTGCAATAGCAAGGCCTTAATTCTCATGCTTGCAGGTAGCAGAAATGCCACAAAATTACCTTCCCACAGGCCAAGCTGGTGCACCCTCCCCATGGGAAACGTTCAAGGTCTAGGTCTGAACCTGGAGGCGGGAGCCAAGCGTTAGCTAACATGGCCTGGGAGATGGCAATGTTTTGACTTACAGGAACGGATCTTAAATTACTTGGAGAAGTCCAGAGAACATGTGTCTTTTAATTTACCCACTCCCTGGAATAATTTCCACATTCCTTCAAGGGTGGAAAGCACCATGCTCAGTACATGCTGCAGCTCCTCCTCTTCTGGCTTGACAAGCCTGGACGGTAATTTGGGAGAACAATAAACAGGGAGGTGGGGGCTTCCTTTCTGGGGGAAGCGCCTGCATGCTAACCAGGCCTGCCAGCTTTTAAAATCGAGTTCTGCTCTGTTGTTTTGGGTTTGTTTAAACAGAAAAAAACCCAGCAACCCAAGGAGTAGAGTTAGCTACTGACAGATGTAACATGCAGCTGACAAGTTTAGCCTGAGGAGCTGGTGATGTGCCCGACCCGTGCTTGCTCTCCTTCCTTCCTCCGGTGTGTTGTGGAGGTCTTTTTTTTTTTTTAAAGATGCAAAAGTCACGTCCTGTGTTTAGTTAAAGCTCACACTGTGTTCTGTCCAGACCATTGCTTAAAAAGGGGAAAATATGCAAACTGCTGCTGTCACTGGATGGACTCCCAGGAAGCGGAGTTTTTAAGCTGAATTTTTAACTCATCCCTGAATGGGCCAGAACAGCCTGAGGAGCAAAGCGGGGTGGGAGGCTGAGCGCTACAGGGAGCTGCAGCACTGCCCCTCTCCTGCTTCTGAGGGCAGATGCAAGGGCGGTTTTTAGGGGCACCGCCGCAAGTTAGCAAAATGGGCCCTTTTTTTCAAGTTTGCTAAAAAAAAAACCCAACCAAACAAAAACAAACCCACAACAAAACAACTATTCCCCCACGTATGCTAAGAGTTAGTAAAAGATGGCTCTTTCCCCAAGTTTGCTGAGAATAAAAGGTGGCTTTTTCCCCGTTTGCTGAGAGTTAGCAAAACAAGGTCTCTTTCCTCAGGTTTGCTAAGAGTTAGTAAAAGACAGCTCTTTCACCAAGTTTGCCAGGAGTAAAAGAGGGCTCCTTCCCCACGGTTTGCTAAAAGTTAGCAAAATAAGGGCTCTTTCCCCATGTTTGCTAAGAGTTAGTGAAAAAATAAAGGGTGTTTTCCCCAAGTTTGCCAAGAGTTAGCAAAAAAGACAGCTCTTTCCCCAGGTTTGCTAGGAGTTAGCGAAGACGACTGCTCTTTCCCCAAGTTTGCCGAGGTTGAAAGAAGGTTTTCCTTCCAGCCTTGCTAAGTTAGCAGAAAGACTTTTCCAACTTTGCTAAGAGTTAGTAGTAAGTCAGCTCTTCCCCCAGTTTTTCTAGGAGTTAGCAGAAGCGGGCTCTTCCCCCGGGTCCGGGAGGAAGGTGCGGGGGGACGCAGGGCACGGTGGCCGGGGTGCAAAGGGTGGCCGCAGGGCCTCTCACCTGGAAGATGAGCACCTTGAAGCGGTCTCGCCGGAGCAGCTGTGCATGATGCTGCTCCAGGCGTCGCACCTGGTCGCATTGCCTCTCCAGCCGCTCCCGCACGGCGCGGGTGTGGGCGCACACCTTCCGCGACTTCTCCAGCAGCTTCTCCACCGCTTCCCCCGTCGCCCCGTGGCTGCGGCACAATTTCCCCAGGTCTCCCTGAATACCCCGCACCGCCCCTTCCAAACCCCGCTGCCTCTGCTCCATCTGCCGCTGTTGCCCTTCCACCGCTTCCAACATCGATACCAGTTTCTCCAACAAGGCCAGGACGGTCAGGGCGTTCACTTGCCCCCCGACCGCCTCCGACGGCGGTAGCGGGGGCACCGCGCTGCCTCCCGCCGCCTCCCCCCTCGCTGCGCCCGGATGGGGACGGGGGGGGCC